CCCACACCTTGGTGTTTTACATTGTTTTACTCTCAGTCCCTATAAAAGAAAGCAACTTTTCCCTAGCTCTTTGAGACATTTGCAGATGTTAGGGGCAGAGTGTTCTCCCTGTTGTAGTAGTCCCCCACCACTACAATAGGCCTTTTCCCATTTCCCTCTTTTCTTTCAGGAAAAAAACAATTCTCCCTATCAAAGTCTGGAAGTGATTTTATTTCATAGAGTAAAAAGAAAGCTTAGGTAGGAAGTTGTGACTGCAGATTAATCCCTGCATGGATTCATACCTCACATATGCATGGCCTAAGTAGGTTTGGGACTCTACAACCTTGAACTTGGTATTGCTGATCCAACTGGTTGAGTCCCCAAGCATCTGGCATACGTAAATGTAAAACCTCTTTTGAAAAGATCACATCTATTCTAAATCCTCAAGAAACTTTAGAAATAAATTTTAAAGGACCAATATCATCAAGATGTCAGAGATTTCTCAGAACCCATAACTCAAGACTGTATGAACACGAGCAACGCAAGTAACAGCAGAAACAGACAGCTGAAAACACCTCCTCCAGTGTTCCTTCAACACCTTCTAATGAGAAAACTTAACATTGTGCTAATTGCGAAGAAAAGATGCTGAAAGAATTCAACCCATTATATCACAGAGCTTGTACTGAAGGGTGAATTCATAGCTGAGAGGCAATATTTGATACCTGCCACAAACTTTAATAGGAATTTGAACTTAGAGGAAGTGTAAATGGCCAAAAAATATATAAAAAGATGCTTGACCTTGTTAGTTATCAGGGACATTCAGTGAGGTATTCCACACACAATTCTTACTGGTAAAAATTTAAAAGTCTGACAATTCTATAATTTATGTTTTGAAGCACCAAGAACTCTCACATAATACTGATGCATGAATGTAAATTGCTGCATAAACTGCTGACGTACCTATGTAAGCATGTCAATAGATACAACTATTCTGGAAAACAATGAGGCATGACCTCTTAAAGCTTCACATACTTATGCTCTTTGAGAAGGAAATTCCATTTTGAGGCATATGTCCTGGAGAAACACGTGCTTAGATGCACCAAGGTACATGAATGACAATTTTTCAAAGCAGCTTTGCTTATATTTGTCAAAAATAAGAATAAATGCGAATGTTCATTAATAGTAGACTTGATAAATTGTGAAAATTTCACGTAGTGAAATACTGTGCAGCAATACATATCAATAAATTACAGATGCATACAACAAAATAGACGCTTTTATAATGTTGAGTGAAAATGCTAGAATATAAAAAGTATACAATAGATAATTCCATTGATATAAAATTCCATATCAAGCATGCACACATTTTTGCAATATTTTATAATAAAATTTTAACTATGTATTTATTATGCATATAATGTCACAGTTTAATCAATATACATAAAAAATTATATCCACAAATTACCGGGCACAGTACCAGGCATTGAGTATTTGGTCAATTAATATTTGCTGAAAAAATGGATGAAATTTTAAAAATTCATAAAAGAAAGCTATAATTCTATCAAAGTTCATGTTACTGGGCAAGAAGGAGTATATCTTGTACCAATTTATACCTCCAGTTCAGAACTCTCTTCTAAATTACAAACTCTGAAGTTTCCTCTTGTATGTCTCAAAGGAACTTCAAATGCATTATGTCTAAAATCTAACTCATCGTCTTTCCCCCTCCCCCACACACACTCCAATCCCAGCAAACCCCACACTAGAGAAGGAGCCACCACATATCCAGTTGTGTAATTCAGGAACATTGGAGTCATCCTTGGCATTACCCTGTACCTCAACCCTAACAGCCAGTCCATTACCAAGTGCTATTTAGTGGTACAGTGGTTAAGAGCTCGGCTGCTAACCAAAAGACTGGCAGTTCGAATCCACCAGCTGCTCCTTAGAAACCCTATGGGGTAGTTCTACTCTGTCCTATCAGGTCACTATGCGTAGGAATAGACTAATGGCAACAGGGTTTTTTTTTTTTTTTTGGTCCGTTTTAAATCCTACATAATCCGAAATCCGTCTCGCTCTGTCATGGCTTCAGACCAAGCCACCAGCAGGATTCCTGAAATCGCTTCCTAACTGGTCTTGCATCTAGTCTTGCTTCTCTTCAAAGTGTACTCTACTGAAACCAGGGTGATTTTTTTAAAAAGCAAATTTGATTTCATCTGCCTGCAATATCTTCCAAATCTTTCCATTATATGGGGGATAAACACAGAAGACACTTAGAGGCCCTTTCCTGACTGAAATCATACACGCATCTTCTACCTCAAATTTAGCATTTTTTGTGGCCTTTTTTAATCAATGTATCCCTTCCACTTACAATCCTGAGAGCAAGGCTCAATCTTAAATTGGTTACCACCATTAATATAACACTAATATCCAGAAGAGTACCTCATGTAGTAGATTCTCCATTAATATTTAATAAATGCATAATGAAAAGATTAAAAAAATGAAAACATTAGTTCTGTCAAGATCACAAATATAAACATACAGATACAATGTAAATTTATTATTATATATTAATGAGATTTCTTTTGCAACACCAAAAATTAGAAATGTAAAATGGTTACTATAAGCATCAATATTCGAGGCGAAGAATTTGATGAAGATTTGACACTGTCAAATATGGAAGAATATTTTTTATGAGTCAGAGCTTTTGGTTACAAACAACAGAAATCAACCGAGTCTAACCTAAGCAGACAATGAAATGATTCTCTGGTGACTTGAAGATATGATGGAAAATCTGGGGAACATGGTGTAGAAAATGTACACAAAACCAGCTGGAAGGAATCCAGTCCAGGACAAACAAGAGAAGGAAATTGTATACGACACTACCACCACCACAAATGGACAGTGGATAGTCCCTACGTGCTCCACCACCACTGGACACCAGTAATAGGACATTGGATTTTGGAGGTCTCTGCCGCTGCCATTCTGTTTGCAAACATTTTTGACTCTGCGAATTGAGCATTAGTACAATTTCCACATGAATAATTTCAGTAAGTAGTCTTTAAGAATATATCTCTATTCCTAGAATTTGTAACCAACCAAAACAAAACCCACTGCCATTGAGTTGATTCCAACTCATGGCAACCACAAGTGTTACAGAGCAGAAGTGAGCTCCATAGGGTTTTCTGGGCTATAACCTTCATGGAAGCAGATCCCTAGGCCTTTCTTCTGCAGCACCACTGGGTGGTTTCCAACAGTCAACCTATAGGTTAGTAGCCAAGTGCAAGCTGTTTGCACCACCCAGGGACCGTCAGCAACTCTAACAGGGAAAGTAAAATATAACTATTTCCATCAGAGAATCCACAAAAATAGTATTTGCCATATTCAAATAGTACTGCCATAGTCAAAAAGTAAGAAGAGTAAGACAAGTGCTCCTTGCAAGATTTTTAACCACAACCCTGTGCTCTAAGAATTTCACTGTTATACTCCATGGTTCTTTGCATAAATATCCCCTCACCCACACTCCACCCTGAGCTCAGCCTTGCTGACCTGAGCCTCACATAAAGCTATGATGGATAGAAACTGTTGAATCGGTGTATGTTTTCTTTTGTATATTGTCAATAACAACAACAAACTAAAAAATTGGAAAAACGAAGCTATGAAGGAGACTTTCCTGGGGGACAGAATCTGCGCAGCATCATACAAAAGAGAAGCTGCAGGATGGGGGCACCATCCAGATGCTCAGACTGCTGCTCTTCTGTGTTCCAGGTGAGATGGAACCTAGAAATGGAGTTTTCTCTCAAGAGTGAACGGCTATTCACATAGGTCTAAAATTTGAAATGAGATCTGAAATAAACACTACAAGCCACGCAGCGCTGTCCACTTGTCCCAGTAAGAGACCACTATGGTTTGATTTTCCTTCTATCCCTGATTGCATACCATCTCTGGATCATCCTCATGTGCCTGTCATTTTAGGTTTCAGCAGGCAGAACCTTCTTAGTAGGTGCCAGATTCTCTGGCTGACTCCCAGGAGAGAAAGCCTCCATTAGAAGTAGGCCCAGTCAGAGTCTCCTCTACACTGACTGGAAAATCTACTTAAGCTGGCATCAGCATAAACCAGAGTAGGGGCCCACGGGCCTCATTTACAACACTTCCTCTATGTGTGTTGTTGTGATGCTGAACAGGTTTCAGCAGCACTTTTAGACTAATAAAGACTAGTAAGGAAGGTTTGCTAATCTACTTTACAAAAATCTGCCAGTGAAAACCCTATCTATAACAACAGTCAGATCCCATTGTGCATGGTGTTGGCATGGGTCAGGGGCCCACTAGATGGCAGGTAACAACTAGAAAGAACCATGATTTCCTTCAGTCGCTAAATTAAACTTGGGTGCCCAAGGGATAAATTTAAAGAGGAAATCGACAACAAAATAAAAAAGAACATGGGAAAGCTGTCACATATTTCCAGAGGGATAGGGTTAATGAATTAGAGACTGGCCTTTGTGAGAATGAGTGTCACTGAGAGAAATGGAGAGAGGAGAAAAGGGCAGTAAATTGGGAGGCAGAGCACGAAAACATCTTCAGTGACGTTGACCAGGACGGCTTGGCTGGAAAACAGGAATCATGGAAGGAAAAAGTAAGGGAGGAATACTACCTTCTGTGAGGGAGATTTTAAATATGAAGGGCCAGGTTTAATATTGGGTTAGGTTCAGAGTTTTGAGGGGTAACTGCAGAGAAAGGAAAAAGTCCAAGAAAACAAGGAATTAAAATGGGAATATTGCAGAGTTAAGAAGGCACAGGGAAGAGAGAAGTGACCTTTCAGGGTGTATAGCTTAGGAGACCCTTCCCCAAATCAGTTATGTGATCTATCCATGTGAAATATGCTGGTTCCTGTGATATCAAAACTTCTGACAAAGAGTATACTACATTTTTACAGCATTTTTCTTCAACAATTTACCACAAAACGGGGTCCAGAAAAAGCCACATTTCTTAATTTTCTCCTTGATCCTACAAATACTCCAAGGAAATAGTCAGCTGATGTGGCCTTTGGGACAGACAGAGGAAGTGTGCACGTTCAGTGCTGAGCAGAAAGGAAGCAGCTGGTGTAGTGAAGACTCACTGGCCTGTAGCCCTGGGGAGGAGGTTTTTGTTTGAGTCTGAAGCACTGTGGGAGTAGAGCTATAATACTGCTGACAATAATAAACTGCGGCGTCTTCAGCCTGGAGGCTGCTGATGGTGAGAGTGAAGTCTGTCCCAGACCCACTGCCACTGAACCGGTCAGGGACCCCAGATGCCCGGTTAGATGCACCGTAGATGAGCAGCTTAGGAGCCTGTCCTGGTTTCTGCTGGTACCAGGCTAAGTATTTGCTCACACTCTGGCTGGACTTGCAGTTGATGGTGGCCGTTTCTCCTGGAGACACAGCCAGAGAGGCTGGAGACTGGGTCAGCACAATGCCCCCACTGGCACCTGCAATCAGAGTGGACAATTACCATGGATATATGTGAACACACACTTTTTCATAGGCACGTTGAAATATACAATTTATACCACAGCATCTAGTGGTATTACATATCTGCACAAAATTGGTTCCATTTTGCAAATAATCATCATTTCCCACTATATTTTAAAATCATTTTTCAGCTCTACAGAGATACCACTCTAGAGGGATTGAAGCACTTGTAATTTCTCACCAGAGGCCCAGAGCAACAGGGACATGAGGAACAGAGTCTGTGGCACCATCTTGCTGCTCCTACCTGCCTGATGCAGATCAGCTCACATTGCAGAGGTCCTGTTTATAAAATCTGAGTAGCCAGCCTGGGCCTGGAGAGTGTATGCAAAGCAATCAGTGAACTGAAAGCAAATTATATAGACGGTTAGCTGTGAAAGAAACAAATATACATCCAGAGCCAAAAATATTATCACAGAAAGTACAATTTTATGACTAGAAAAGGCACAAAAGTGACTTAGAGGCTCTAATATCAACTTAGAAAAAAAAAAAAAAAAGAGTTTTGCAGTCCAGTTGATTCCAACTCATGGAGAACCCATGTATTACAGTGTCGAAGTGCTTCATAGGGTTTTCTTGCCTGTATTCTTTATAGAAGCAGATCACCAAGATTTCTTCGATGTTACCACTGGGTATGTTTGAATTGCCAACCTTTAGGTTAGCAACTAATCTCAAACAGCTTGATGAACCATAATCTAATGAATAGCTTCTGTTTTAATTCAAAAACTGTTTTAAATGGGTTTAGGTTCTATAAATTATGTACTGGTTTCCTCAAATCAACAGTTTTGTGAAATAATTAAAAAATACTGGAAAAAAAGCACAAAGGAAATGGAACAACTTTTGAAATTTTTCCTTCAGTTTTTGATAAAAATTTATAGCTAAATAATGTCTGAGCTCTACAGAAGCTTTTATCCTGAAGGATACTTTAAAGACACTACAAACACATCAGATTGTATTCCAGTGTTATGCAAGGGCCAGAAAAATGGAAGACAGGCCCACAGTTTACCCATACGGAAAGTCCTCAGAAATCCAATATTGAGCTAGGGCTCAGGAGGGCTCTAATCTCAAAGGAAGCGTGAACCAATGAGAAAGTGTAACATATCTTGCCCATAAAGGCTAGGAACTGATAAGTGGGCTCTAGGTTCATTGCGGAAAGGGACAGGAAAAAACAAACAGGATTTCTTTGTGAAGTTGTGACTGAACACCAACTGTTCAAGAAGTTTCATTCCACGTACCCGTGGCCTCAATATGCCTGGAACTCTTCAGAATTGAAGTTGGTTTAAGGTAGCCCTACTGGTAGGACCAAAAAATACGATCTCCTCTGGGAGAGGACACACCCATCATAAATCTTCAGGAAACCTCACAAATAATTATTCAAGGGATAAAGACACCAAGAAGTCAGAGATTCTTGACATCCAAGAATAATCTTGCTTGCTGAAATCGCAGAGGATTTGAAGCACTTACTGATGAAGAATAAAAAACTACAGTCTTCAGTATGGGTTTCACCTCAGCATAAAAAAAAAAAGTCTTCACTACACTAATAAGAAACATGATAAACAGAGAAAATATTGACTTTGTCAAGGATTTCATTTTACTTGGATCCACGATCAACAACCAGAGAAGCAGCAGTCAAGAAATCGAACAACATATTGCATTCAGCATTCAGCAAATTTGCTGCAAAAGACCTCTTTAAAATGTTAAAAAGCAAATATGTCACTTTGAACACTAAAGTGCACCTGACCCAAGCCATAGTATTTTCAATCTCCTCATATGCATGCAAATGCAGGACAGTGAATAAAAAAGACCAAAGAAGAATTGATGCCTTTGAATTATGGTGTTGAATATGCCACATACTGCCAGAAGAACAAATAAATCTGACTTGGAAGATGTACAGCCAGAATGCTCCTTAGAAGCCAGATTGGGGGTATTTCGTCTCTCTTACTGTGGACCTGTTATCAAGAGGGACCAGTCCCTGGAGAAGGACATCATGCTTGATAAAGCAGAGGGTCAGTAAAAAGAGAAAGATCATCAGCAAGATAGACTGACACAGTGGCTGCAACAATGGGCTCAAATATACCAAAGATCGTTAGGATGGCACAGGACAAGGGAGTGTTTCCTTCATTTGAACAAAGGGTCACTGTGAGTTGAAATGGATTGATGGCACCTTACAACAACAACAGGATATGAATACAAATGAGATGCAACAGAAACAACAGAAAACAAAAGAAGTTCTGCTCACACTCAGATTTGGGAATTATATGAGTTTATTTAAGGAAATAAATGACGAACTTGACATTGCATGCAGGGTACAGGAAACTAAAAAGGGGACACTTCAGATTTGAAAAAGAACCAATTGAATTTCTAGACATTAGAAACAGAATTGACAAGATTTTAAAACTTAGTGGAAGAGACTTCCACTTGTAGGATAGATGGAATAACAAGGACAAGGTTTACCCTAACACATGAAACAAACAATAACGATAAAAAAGTAATTAAAAATTATTTTTAATGTTTAACACACTCAGCTAATAACCTAACAAAAATGCCCTCAAAAAAAAAAAGCCTGGCAATGTGCTTCTGAAAAATCAGCCATTGAAGACTCTATGGATCATAGTTCTACTCTGACACACATATGGACACCATGAGACAGAATCAACTCAACAGCAAATGGTTTTTAATCTTACAGAAGTAGATCGCCAGGCCTTTCTTTCAGGGCCCCACTAGTGGATTTGAACTGCTAACCTTTCGGTTAGTAGTCAAGCCCAAAACATTTGCTTCACATCACCTGCTAAATCTTAGTTTTGGGCAGAGAATCCAAGATAATAAGTGTCCATTACTGCTGTATTCCAAAAGTAAGTCAAAAAAGAGTACCCTACAAGATTTTTTACCATAATCTTGTGATCTATGAATTTCACCATCATACTCTCTGGCTCTTGGCATAAATGTCTCCTTGCCACCACCTTACCCTGTCCTCAGCCATGCTGATCTGAGGGTCATAAATGCAGCCTTTTCTGGAGGGCAGAACCTGAGAAACCTCACACGAGAGAAGCTGCAGGATGGTGATAACATTCAAGTCTACAGGCTCCTATTCTACTCTGTTTCAGGTAAGAGGATATTTGCAAACCTGAACATGGAGTTTTCTCTCCAGAATAATCCTTCCATTCACATCTATAATTTTAAAATGAGTTATGAAATAAATGCTCCAAGCAATACAGGCCTGTCCACCTATCACAGCTAGACAATTTTGGTTTGGTTGTTTCTTCTATCCTTGATTTTGGAGAATCTCTGTATCATCCCTATGTGCCTGTCATTGCAGGTCCTTGCCAGCAGATGACGATAACACCAGCTCCAGAATTACTGGCTGTCTCCCTGGGAGAGAATCTCGATCAGTTCAAGGGCCAGTCAGAGTCTTCTCTACGCTGATGTGAGACACCACTTAACCTGGTCAGACTCTTAAGGTCCTCATTTACCCCATTTCCACCCCCGTTGATGGGGTGCCCACCAGCTTCAGTGGCAGTGGATCTGAGGCCAACTTCACTCTCACCATCAGCACCATCAGATCAAAGATAGTACAACGAATTACTGGGTTCCAAAATCAAGATATCCTTTCATAATAATGTGACTCCAAATATAAACCTCTTACAGAGGCAGAGTGGCGGAAGAGTCCCACTTTTAGGCACTGTCACAGAGACTGCTGTTGTTTATTTCTTTGTTTTGATCAAGCAAACAAGTTGGGATGAAATAGTCAGAAAATCGGCAGCTGGACATCCTCTGACTCCAAAAGACAACAGGTCTCCTGCTCTTCCTGCTCACTTCCTTTAAATGTGCTCTCAGCCCTCACCCTGGCCTTCACTCCATGGTCATTTGCAGTCCCATCTCACCCTCTCTAATCTGACCTCAACCATGACTCCCAAATGCCTTTCCTGTTGCCCTGGAACAGAGCTTCCTCTCTAGGTCAAAAGCTAGAGCCACTATCACCTAAGCATTCCTATTCCCTGCTTCCCCACTCAAGTTTATGTCAGAGAAAACATCTCAGGAATGAGAAAATACTACATCCCTGCTTGTCCTTGTGTAAAAGCAAAGCAAGTTATATTTTCCCAAATACACTAAACTAAAAAAGACTCCTAGTATAAAACTTAGGAAGAGAAAATAAGTTCCTTTCATCATAAGAAAAAATTTAAAATTTAGTGTCTGCACTTTTTGGTATTTGTATGAGTTAGAATTTTACCATTTTCTGAAAAGAAGATTTTAACAAATCTATTTTGGCTGTCTCTGAACCCCTCACCTTCCCATTTCCCTACTTCTTGTTGTTTGCTGACTTGGAGTTGATTTTCGACTCATACCTATTTTCAATTCCAAGATTCCCACTTATAATAATGCCCTAACCCAAACCAAGAACTCCACAGCCCCTCCCTTATTTCATTAAATTTGTCTTGTAAAAACTAAAACCTGGGAAAAATTCCATCCTCCACATACCTGCATCAATTTCCCCAATGTGGCTAGAGAAAAACACATATTCTGATTCAACTCATGATACCTGATGAGAGCCCTTCATCCTGCCTCACAGTCATGCTTCACTTACTTGGTTCATTCAGGCTCCACCCTTCTCTTCTTTTCAAGTTTTAACATCTACTTCTCATCCCACCTTTCAGCAAATTTCCTCATTTCCTGTTTTTGGGAGAGCTTCCACTAGTTCCTCTCCTGCATCTTTTATTCCACTGGCGTCTACATGCTCATCTACATCTACATCCACCTTCCTGCCTGTTACTGTAGATGAGCAGATAGCTCTTCTATCGGAGGCCAGTCCTTCTGTTCCTATACAGCTATCCCATCCAAGGCATTTCCTGGCATTTCTCACCTCTCTTCTGAACTGTCAATGGTCCCCTCACTTTAGCATCAATCCCATCGGCCTAAAACATCATTATATGAAAAAAAAAAAAAAAAAAAACTCTTTTGATTTCACATCTCCCTCCAGTTATGTCCTGTTTCACTCTTCTCCTTTAGCTTAAAGCTCATTGAAAGACTTGTATATAATCACCAAAACCAAACCGTTTCTTTGCATACTCCCTTGGGCTCTCTCCTTTGAATTTATTAACCCCACATTGTCATAGAAACTGCTCTACTCAAATTCACCAATGACTTCCACACTGACAAATTCTATGGTCACATTTCACTCCTCATCTTACCAGACCCAACAGCAGCATTAAACACATTTGTAACACCCTCCTCCTTAACACAATCTCTTCACTGAGCT